CCGTTATATTTATGGCCCGTTTTAAAACTCGCCAATCATTTCTCGGTGGCGGAACGCGTTTCACGGGGCGATCGATCGAGCATTGAACTGTACATAAAATTTTAAAACGTCGGCGCAAAATTTTTAAAAACGACCGCGTTTAAAATCGATGGTATAAATTAATAAGTATTGTTCATTCAAGAAAATGCTCCGTGCGATATCTCTTAAGAGATCTCCACTTGCGAGTTTGTTCACATCGAAATTTTGACTTTTTATTTTATTTTAAAAGAAGAAAACAACTATAAACATCGATATATATTTTCCAAAATATTGGGCGATTAAATGGTGAAAGATCGTTCCGAGGAATAAATACGTTGCCTTCACATAGCATAGCCTTCACATAGCTCAGTTACGAATTCGATATACGCACGATCCCCTCCGGCATGTCCGGACAAAGCTGATTTTTATGTTCGAATATCGAATCCTCTAGTCGAGACATACGGGATAGGTGGAGATTGAAGGGATACACGTATAAAAAGGGTACGGAAGCAGGAACGATGTAAACGATACATTGCCCGTGGAAATATTCTCAGGAGAGTCGGAAATCGCGACGCGAAATATCTGCGTTACATCGTAGATGCTCGGTAACGATAATATTATGCTTTTCGCATAACAACAATTTCGCGTTTTGAGTTGAATGATTACCAAATTAAATTATTTAATCATTGTAATTGTTTATAATTATTTTAGTTCTTGTGAAATACGAACACAAAATATAAAAGCGAAATTTATATATTATGTTAGTTGGAAAATATTATACAATATCAGAACATAAAATGCATGTTTGCAAGGATGTATGAAAATATTATGTAGTGGCAACGTATTTTTCTGTAGTTTTTATGGTTTACCATGTTACTCGCACTCAATTCTGAGAGGGAAACCTTGTATTCAGCACTACTACGGACTAGTGACATCATATTACGATCTGTCTGCCCTGCAATCCCCCATACAGAGTTATACCATAACTGTCTGATATGCCTCTTTCTTTCTTCACGCGCTACCCCTATGAAGTTATGGACGAGTATCGACGTTGTCGTCATCGATCGATCAAATTTCAAACGTTAACAAGTGTCATGAAGTCCGCCTCTTGACAAGGACAAGTTTTTCTACTTTACCATTTTTCACTTTCTTTGCAATCGAGCATCTTATCGATCATCCCTAATAAAAAAAAAAAAAAAACACGTGAAAACTGTTGCACATTATTGGAATTGATGAATATTTTTCATATAGACTTTTTTTGAATTTCTATGACTATGTAAACTACTTTCATGTACTGAAATATTTGTACTTCCAAATTTTTTTTTATATGACATTGCTAATAATCTTAATTCATTATTACTTTTGTATTTTATATATTTTATTTTTATTTAGATGTATATTTTTGAAACTAATCTTCAAAGATAATATTGTAATATTTCTATACTCTTATATTGTTTGTCATACACGTTCTCGTGAAAGTTTCATGCTGAAATACTATAATTCTTACAATAGACACGCCATTCAATGTGCCAACGTTGCCAACAGGACAAAACACCCTTGTGGCATGGTATTATTTTCCCTCAAATCTTGGCTGACAGCGACAAAGGAGCGACTTTCGCGTTCTTATTCAACTCTATCCAAGAGCTATGTCACCCTTGCTGGCATACCGATCCTTTCGGATATAAGAAAAACAACCCGCGACAGAATGGAATATATATCTCGGCTATGGCTTAGCCTTCGATAATAATGTCAAATTTTGAAACTGATAACTGATAAATTAGTCTCCTAATTTTTATAATGCGCAAAAAATGCCAATATTTTATTGCGGATATAAATAAATTAATGGAATTTAAATTATTTTTTACAAGTTTTTATTTTTTAAACCGTATCATGCCGTATATTAAATTGATGTAATAATATTAAAAAATGCATTATATGCAATTTATGAAACTGCATCGTAAGATTACCCCCCTCGTGTGTTGCGCGTATACTTGGAAACAAGCATGATGGCATGTGAGCATATGTAACAATTGCATCGCGCATCGACTGGATTAGAATCTAAATTCGCTGTAATTCCTTGATTCCTCGATCGGCGAGGAATCGCAATGACTTTAGACGTACTTTTCACCTCCAACCACAAACAGTATACTCATACATTATGCATCTTACGATTCGGATTCGTAGCTTAAAGTGCAATTAAAGACAGCAGATTCTTTCATGTTGAATAATATCAAATTAATTGCAACGTATAACAAACATCGTACTTATTTCTTTTGCGAAACATATTTTTTGCACACCTTTCACGTTTAAAAGAATATTTCTGATCGCTCGTCACCAATATATAATAATATTTTTAATAAAGAAAATAATATTTTGTATCACGAAGAAAAAGTTTTACTTGCAAAAATTTAGACAGTTACAGATCTGAAAATAATTTTGTCGAATTAAAATTATTACATAAAACACTTAAACATGATAATAATAAACTGTAAACATTTTTTATCTTCTAACAATCAATTTGAATGTGATACATAATAATTTTGAAGGCCCAACAATATTATTTTTCAGATTTGTATCTGGTCAATTTTTAGATTTGGCTAGATACGAAAATGTTTTTTTTTTTTTTTGCGTACATTCTTATCTAATTACTCCGTTATAATAAATTTATGATTTTTGCAATTGAAAGGAACCATTCGCCTCGTGAACAAACCACGATATTCCGTGTTGTAGCTTAAGCATGGCTGACTTTAATGACCGCGCTTAGGGGATGAGATGTACGGACGGGTCATTTCGCGAGGACATTTATAAATGACAAACCAGCGGGAGCAACACTATAACCGGTCGACTATACCCTGACTTGGCCGCCGCACTGTTCCGGCTAAAGAGGATGTAGGGGGAGGGGGGGGCCTCAAAGGGGGTGCCACAAGAACGGGAGGGCTGGCATGGGTTGAATCTCGATCGGAGAGGGAAACTCTGAGGATAGTGGTTTAGACACACACACACACACACACACACACACACACACACAACACACACACACACACACACACACACACACACACACACACACACACACACACACACGGTACGGGCACACGCCCGCGCACGTACACACGTACATACACATATACATATACAAATACATACACGTTTCCACGTTCATATACTCATACATAGTTGCAATACATGGAGGGTCATGCACATTCGGAGGTTGCTTGGTAATGGCTTCGGTTTATTAATGACCGGTCAGCTGAGTTAGCAGCCAACGTGTATTCCACGCGAGGCGCTACTCTAAATACACATTTATATACCATACATAGATACATATTCCATGTATATGTACTATCAAACACGCAAAAGGTATATCCCGAGCAACATCTACTTCTTGATGTGCTCTACCCGCGACGAAAAACTGCTTAAATCTCGAGTGTGAAAATACCCGGCTGTCCTTCTCTCTAACGACCTTCTTGAGTAAGACGTCAGGTACACAGTAAAAAACATTTTGTATTTGTGTTAAAATCGGTCCTTGTTAAAATTTTTGTGTTAACCTACATATTTGTATGTGAATTTAACACATGTCTACTATGTTAATTGACCTTAACAAATATAAAATGTAAAATTATTAAAATTATTTAAGAAATGTGTTAAAATAACACAATTTGTACGTATTTATTTAATATGTTAAAATTTATACAAAAAAATATTGGTTTTACTCTATAACAGGAGTGGGAATGACTTGTTATTATTCTTTGTGTGGCTTCGGCACAGTCTTGAATTTTGACGCGTCTCGATATATTATTTTATCATAAAAATTATGTTAATTGTAACACACAATTAACTTCAAATTAAGATCAGAATACATTTCAAGAGTACATTTCTTTTTTGTTGAAATATTAACATAATGTCGATGTTACTATTTAACACATCCATATTATATTATTCAACACATTTTTTCCAACAGTGTATCATTAATTACGTGCGAGTTATGTGAAGAATAGTTATGTTAATTATTGTACTTTTATAACTCTGTTTTATGTACCTTCCGTTTGTTTCACGTCCTATTAAATTCTAAACTTCACTCATACTACAATTCTATATTTATTCTACATTATTTTACTAATGTTATATGATTTTTATGTTGTAAAAATTTCAACAAAATTTCATGAATCTTAAAAGATAATACATTTTATATTCTGCAAACGTTTTGCGAAGCGGCTGTCACCGTTATTTGACCATGAATAATAACACGCGTAACAATTCCAAAAACGAACGTAACTGTAAGAGAAAATGGTTTTTATTTTTGCTTTAATTTTTTTTTTTTTTACGTTAAAATATGTGAGCTTTTGCGAAGAAAAATGAGTTAATTATTACAATATATATTCATCCGAATAATAATTTTTCTTCGCAAAAATTCACATATTTTACATGAAAAAAAAAATATATATATATATATAATAGTCGGTTTAGTTTATTTTCTTTATTGTTGCACCTTATTGTACGCACACGCAGACAGATGCGGTATTTCAACATGCTCGTTTATTCGTCCGTGTCTTAAACTTAACGCACGAGAGGTACTTAACGAGATTACCGGCATCAGGATGCGCGTAATGTTGGTGAAAGGTTTTACAAAAAGGAAAAAATTTGGTC